ATAATTGTATGTACCTGGGTCCAGAAGTGTCCTAGTTTAGAACAGGACCAGAAGATATGCATTTGAGTTCAAAACAGTACCCAAGGATGATCTGAGGTATTTGAAAATATGATACATAGGATATTAATGGTCCTATACCACCTAGTTATGAGTGTATAACCAGATTCTTCATATCTGTTTTTTATTAATGATTTTTAAAGGACAAGGAAAGAAAGAATATGTTTGGCTAGTATGGCCCTGATGCATTCCTGCTGAAAGGATGACAGGGGGCGATCAAAAGTTAATGCGTACCTATTCTCTCCACCTTTACTGTCCCAAAGAGACCAAATCAGGGTCTATAGATTGATCAGCATATGAAGGCCAGCACAAGTGTTAAATGAAATGTTGGGTTCTATAGTTGCCAGACTTTCCCTCTGATGTAAATGCTTGGTATTTAACCCTTTCGCTGCCAGGCCCTGTGCTCCACTTTTAAACTCAGGTGGCGAGACCATTTTTGTAATCTTTGCTGTTTTATTTTTCCCTTACAGCTTTCAGAGTTTGTAAAAGACCCCCCAAACCATATATTTTCTGAAAACACATGAGCAGTGGAATAAAAGCAAGATACTGCTGATTTTTTTAGGCACCACAATAGTTGCGCAAATTTTTTTATTTTTTTTTTTTTACAGCTTAATTTTTTGGCCTCATGCCCACTGCTGCTCATAAACGTTAGTTCATGAGCTTTTGGTGCTTATTGCCAAAGCCCCAGAGCATAGTCATTTATCAGAGTTTACCAATAGCAGAGTTTAGGGCCAGTTAAACATCCCTCCCCTGAATGCAGAAGAATTGCATTCAGGAAAGGATTAATTGAAATGAATAAACGGCCAAGCGCTAAACGCGCTGTCCAGTGCAGTGTACATGGAGCCTTTTTTTTGCACAGGTACATTTTTATTTTTTAAATTTTTTTGGGGGAGGGGGGGGGGGGTTGGTCTAATGTCCCTTTTTTGAAAGAGAAATGGACTGAAGACAGTCCATTTCTCTGCACTGAAGATGAACGAGATAAGAGTCTGTATGGACTCCTAATTCATTCATAAAGTGAAACATAGTAAACACTGTTTACTATTCAGTATTTCATTTTCAAACTGACACATAGTAAATACAGTTTACTATGTACCAGTGATGAAAGAATACAGGAGCGATCTGTAGTGATCACTGGCTGTATGCTTTCAGGATAGGAAGGGGGCTGTCAGGACTGGACTGGCCAGCAATAGTGGGACTCAGCTGCCTTATTAGCTGCAGTACCAGGGCTGGCCAATCAGAGACTCAACCTTGCAGCCAGTCAAACACCTGGAACTAATTATACTGGTGTATTTAAGGGACATTCAGACCTGCAGACTCTGCCTTGGTGTTGTGTTTCTCTTGGGCCCTGTATCCTGTTCCTGCTCTCTGTTCCTGTCTGATTCTCTGCTGACCCTGCTCTGATCCCTGGCTTGTCTGACCATTCTCCTCTGCCTGACCCTCTGTACCACGCTGCCCGCTACCTGCTGAACCTGGCCTGTGACCCCGACCATTCTCCGCTTGCTCCCCCTGTACCTACCTGCCCGACTGATATTGACCCGGCCTGCCTGACGACGCTTGCATTGTATGTACTGTTATCTGTGGGTGGTTTGGTTTGGTTTGTTTGCACTGTGTTATGTTTTAGTATTGCACTGCGTTTATGTGTTAGTGTTAATAAATTACATTGTTTATAACATATCTGAAGTCTGCGTTTCCCTGCGTCAGTCACACACCTCTGGTCATACCCCGGGAGCCCTGACATTACACCAAGGCCAATCCTGACCAGAAGTGGCTGCACTGGGAAGCCATCTTGGCTTGTTGCTGGGAAGGATGGATCTTGATGAGGTTGTGTATTTATATCTGCTAGTGTTTGATGACAGAGAGTATGCTTATCAGACTCTGAAGGAGTATACCCGGGATGAACTGCTAGAATGTATACGGCTCGCTCATGTTCTAGTAGATCAGGGCACAGAGTTCTCTGAGGTGCAGCCTTTGATTGAGGTTTGTGCTGAGTTGGTTTCATCTGGTTCCCCCGAATGCAGGGATGAATTTTTGCCACCATTTAGTGCAGACCAGGTAGAGTCCCTGGTGTGGTTATTAGAGGATGATGTGGGTTACTTTCTGGAGCGTTATTCCACATGTTCACCACAGACACTAAGAGATTGTATAAACGCAGTGCAGTCATTGACCAGACAGGCTTTGTGTAAGCTCAGCTTTGTTCAACCCATACTGCAGACATGGACAGATTTGTTGCACCCAGCCTCAGTCAGCTTACAAAAACCCAGTCCTGCTTCTAATCTATTTCCTCAAAACTCTATTCCTGCATTCCCAACAGCTCCTCCTGCCCTGCTATCTACCGCATGTCAGTCCCCTGTTCCCACTCGCTGCACCTATCCTGCCTTTAACCCTGTAAAAGAAGCCCTCTGTAGCAACTGCTCCCTCTCCTGTTCCATCCTCCAGTTCTTCTCTGTCTCCAGCTGCTCCATTCGTTTGCAGACCTGCGTTTACTTGCAGTGCTCCAGTAGTTAAAACCAGAAAAAAGCGAAAATTCTTTCTAACCAATACCATCCTGCCAGTATCCAAACCGGTGAGCCTGCCTTCCGTGGTTCAGCCTGAAGCCTCTACTCAGCCTGAATCCTCTACTTGGCCTGATGCCTGTACTCGGCCTGATGCCTGTACGCAGCCTGATGCCTCTACTCGGCCTGATGCCTGTACGCAGCCTGATGCCTGATGCCTCTACTCGGCCTGATGCCTGTACGCAGCCTGAAGCCTCTACTCGGCCTGAAGCCTCTACTCGGCCTGAAGCCTCTATGCGGCCTGATGCCTCTACTCGGCCTGATGCCTGTACGCAGCCTGATGCCTCTACTCGGCCTGATGCCTGTACGCAGCCTGAAGCCTCTACTCGGCCTGAAGCCTCTACGCGGCCTGATGCCTCTACTCGGCCTGATGCCTCTACGCAGCCTGATGCCCTCTCTTCAGCCTGAAGCCTCTACTCGGCCTGATGCCTCTACTCGGCCTGATGCCTCTACTCGGCCTGATGCCTCTACTACTCGGCCTGACTCGGCCTGAAGCCTCTACTCGGCCTGATGCCTCTACTCGGCCTGAAGCCTCTACTCGGCCTGATGCCTCTACTCGGCCTGAAGCCTCTACTCAGCCGGACGCCGGCATTCAGCCTGATGCCTACCCAGCTACCCAGCATGACGATCCTATTAGGCCAGTTGACTCAATGCCTGCTGTTGATCCAGATGATCCTGTACCTGATCCGGTGCCCGCTGTCGTGCCAATGGACTCGGAGCCCGCTGTCGTACCTGGTGACTCGTAAAAAAAAAGAAAGATGTAAACGAGCGCACCTATAAAGAATAAATAGCAGCTGAACATAAGGTAACCAAACCCCCTAAAAACCAATATATCATAAAAATGCAGCGCTATGAGTAGATGATGGAACTGATACATATACAATAAATAGAGGAATTAGTCCATGTAGCAGTTGATAATAATAAATATAAAGTGACTTCAAGTGCTCTCCTTTAATTCGTATTCAGGCGTTGTGCGGAATGGTGCAGAAGAAATGCACACTCACCAGAACGCACAGATAAATGAGCGTTTGTATAACATATATTCCCCTCTGGATCGCTAGGAAAAGGTCTGTGATGCGATAACCACCCTCCAGGACTCCTGGGTGCTCCTGCCGTTCCCCCTCAAAAGGTGGCTTGCGGACTTCTCCTTACAACACGCCCTTGTCCAGTGAATGGATGAGTTGCTGAAAAATTGATGCTCCCCAGGGGAGTCAAGACAAGGACATACCCATAGTGTAGTAGGTGATAAAAGAATTTATTCGTATAGTAAGCTACTCGATGAGATACAGCTGTATATAAAAGCAGATTATGGACTAACCGTCCAGATTGAAAGATGGCCGCCGGAGCTCCACGATGCTCCGACGGCGTGACGTCACGGCGTTCTTGGCTCCTCCTACGCGTTTCGTGCGCACGCACGTCGTCTGGGGGGAATTGCCAGTGAACGCCGAGCCGTTCACTGGCAATTCCCCCCAGACGACGTGCGGTGCGCACGAAACGCGTAGGAGGAGCCAAGAACGCCCGTGACGTCACGCCGTCGGAGCATCGTGGAGCTCCGGCGGCCATCTTTCAATCTGGACGGTTAGTCCATAATCTGCTTTTATATACAGCTGTATATGAGCTGAGTAGCTTACTATACGAATAAATTCTTTTATCACCTACTACACTATGGGTATGTCCTTGTCTTGACTCCCCTGGGAGCATCAATTTTTCAGCAACTCATCCATTCACTGGACAAGGGCGTGTTGTAAGGAGAAGTCCGCAAGCCACCTTTTGAGGGAACAGGCAGGAGCACCCAGGAGTCCTGGAGGGTGGTTATCGCATCACAGACCTTTTCCTAGCGATCCAGAGGGGAATATATGTTATACTATATGCCTCGCTCATTTATCTGTGCGTTCTGGTGAGTGTGCATTTCTTCTGCACCATTCCGCACAACGCCTGAATACGAATTAAAGGAGAGCACTTGAAGTCACTTTATATGCCTTTATTATTATCAACTGCTACATGGACTAATTCCTCTATTTATTGTATATGTATCAGTTCCCTCATCTACTCATAGCGCTGCATTTTTATGATATATTGGTACCTGGTGACTCGGTGCCCACTGCCTTGCCAGATGACGCAGTGCCCGCTGGCGAGCCAAATGACCTGATGCCTGGTGACCCAGTGCCCGCTGTCATACCTGGTGACCCGATGCCCGCTGTCGAGCCAGACGATCCAATGCCTGGTGACCCGGTGCCCACTGCCTTGCCAGATGACGCGGTGCCCGCTGGCAAGCCAAATGACCTGATGCCTGGTGACCCAGTGCCCGCTGTCATACCTGGTGACCCGATGCCCGCCTGTCGAGCCAGACAATCCGGTACCTGATGACCCGGTGCCCACTGTCGTGCCTATTGACTCGGAGCCCACTGCCTTGCCAGATGACGCGGTGCCCGCTGTCGAGCCAAATGACCTGATGCCTGGTGACCCGATGCCCGCTGTCCAGCCTGACGATTCAATGTCTGCCCCAGTGCCCGCGGTCATGCCAGTTGACTCGGAGCCCACTGCCTTGCCAGATGACGCGGTGCTCGCTGTCGAGCCAAATGACTTGATGCCTGGTGACCCGATGCCCGCTGTCCAGTCAGACGATCCAATGTCTGACCCAGTGCCCGCGGTCATACCGGTTGACTCGGAGCCCACTGCCTTGCCAGATGACGCGGTGCCCGCTGTCGAGCCAAATGACCTGATGCCTGGTGACCCGATGCCCGCTGTCCAGCCAGACGATCCAATGTCTGACCCAGTGCCAGCGGTCATGCCAGTTGACTCGGAGCCCACTGTCTGTGCCTGGTGACTCGGTGCCCGCCGCCGCCTTCGCCTGGGGGCCCGAGACCTGTCGCTCCGCCTGGGGGTCCGGCGCCCGCCGCTCCGCCTGGGGGTCTGGCGCCCGCCGCCCCGCCTGGGGGCCTGAGACCTGTCGCTCCGCCTGAGGGCCCGAGACCTGTCGCTCCACCTGGGGGTCCGGCGCCCGCCGCTCCGCCTGAGGGCCCAAGACCTGTCGCTCCGCCTGGGGGTCCGGCGCCCGCCGCTCCGCCTGAGGGCCCGAGACCTGTCGCTCCGCCTCGGGGTCCGGCGCCCGCCGCTCCGCCTGAGGGCCCGAGCTGTCGCTCGCCGCCTGGGGGCCCGAGACCTGTTGCTCCGCCTGGGGGCCCGGCGCCCGCCGCTCCGCCTGAGGGCCCGAGACCTGTCGCTCCACCTGGGGGTCCGGCGCCCGCCGCTCCGCCTGAGGGCCGAGACCTGTCGCTCCGCCTGGGGGTCCGGCGCCCGCCGCTCCGCCTGAGGGCCCGAGACCTGTCGCTCCGCCTGGGGGTCCGGCGCCCGCCGCTCCGCCTGAGGGCCCGAGACCTGTCGCTCCGCCTGGGGGTCCGGCGCCCGCCGCTCCGCCTGGGGGCCCGATGCCTGTCGCTCCGCCTGGGGGCCCGATGCCTGTCGCCCCTCCTGGGGGCCCGGCGCCGCCTCTCCGCCTGGGGGCCCGATGCCTGTCGCTCCGCCTGGGGGCCCGATGCCTGTCGCTCCGCCTGGGGGCCCGATTCCTGTCGCTCCGCCTGGGGGCCCGATGCCTGTTGCCCCGCCTGGGGGCCCGATGCCTGTTGCCCCGCCTGGGGGCCCGATGCCTGTCGCCCCGCCTGGGGGCCCGATGCCTGTCGCCCCTCCTGGGGGCCTGGCGCCCGCTGCTCCGCCTGGGGGCCCGATGCCTGTCGCCCCGCCTGGGGGCCCGATGCCTGTCGCCCCGCCTGGGGGCCCGATGCCTGTCGCCCCGCCTGGGGGCCCGATGCCTGTCGCCCCTCCTGGGGGCCTGGCGCCCGCTGCTCCGCCTGGGGGCCCGATGCCTGTTGCCCCGCCTGGGGGCCCGATGCCTGTCGCCCCGCCTGGGGGCCCGATGCCTGTCGCCCCGCCTGGGGGCCCGACGCCTGTTGCCTTGCCTGGGGGCCCGACGCCTGTCGCCCCGCCTGGGGGCCCGACGCCTGTCGCCCCGCCTGGGGGCCCGACGCCTGTTGCCCCTGCCTGGGGGCCCGGCGCCCGCCGCCCCGCCTGGGGGCCCGATGCCGGTCGCCCCGCCCGGGGGCCCGATGCCTGTGCCCGATGCCTGATTGCCCCGCCCGGGGGCTCGGTGTTCTGCCCGGTGCCTGCCTCTGCCCGATGTGCCTGTGCCTCTGCCCGATGGAGTCCTGCCCGATGTGCCTCTGCCCGGAGTCCTGCCCGATGTGCCTCTGCCCGGAGTCCAGCCCGATGTGCCTCTGCCCGGAGTCCAGCCCGATGTGCCTCTGCCCGGAGTCCAGCCCGATGTGCCTCTGCCCGGAGTCCAGCCCGATGTGCCTCTGCCCGGAGTCCAGCCCGATGTGCCCCTGCCCGGAGTCCAGCCCGATGTGCCTCTGCCCGGAGTCCAGCCCGATGTGCCTCTGCCCGGTGTGCCGCTGCCCGGAGTGCCTCTGCCCGGGTGTGCCCTGCCCGGAGTGCCTCTGCCCGGAGTCCAGCCCGATGTGCCTCTGCCCGGAGTCCAGCCCGATGTGCCTCTGCCCGGAGTCCAGCCCAATGTGCCTCTGCCCGGAGTCCAGCCCGATGTGCCTCTGCCCGGAGTCCAGCCCGATGTGCCTCTGCCCGGAGTCCAGCCCGACGTGCCTCTGCCCGGAGTCCTGCCCGATGTGCCTCTGCCCGGTGTGCCGCTGCCCGGAGTCCTGCCCGGTGTGCCAGTCTTTGATATCCCGCCAGTTACCAGACCCGGGCGGTGGAACATTTTGCCCAGCTAGGACTGTTTGGAGCGTCCTGAGGCCGCTCCTTGAGGGGGGGGGTACTGTCAGGAATGGACTGGCCAGCAATAGTGGGACTCAGCTGCCTTATGAGCTGCAGTACCAGGGCTGGCCAGCGGGTGCTCCCAGCAATCAGAGACTCAACCTTGCAGCCAGTCAAACACCTGGAACTAATTATACTGGTGTATTTAAGGGACATTCAGACCTGCAGACTCTGCCTTGGTGTTGTGTTTCTCTTGGGCCCTGTATCCTGTTCCTGCTCTCTGTTCCTGTCTGATTCTCTGCTGACCCTGCTCTGATCCCTGGCTTGTCTGACCATTCTCCTCTGCCTTACCCTCTGTACCATGCTGCCCGCTACCTGCTGAACCTGGCCTGTGACCCCGACCATTCTCCGCTTGCTCCCCCTGTACCTACCTGCCCGACTGATATTGACCCGGCCTGCCTGACGACGCTTGCATTGTATGTACTGTTATCTGTGGGTGGTTTGGTTTGGTTTGTTTGCACTGTGTTATGTTTTAGTATTGCACTGCGTTTATGTTTGTATGGTTAGTGTTAATAAATTACATTGTTTATAACATGAGTCCTGAGGAAGTCACGGGGTCACGTGACGCATCGCGTCGACGGCAATACGTGGTGACGCACTTCCGGCGCGGCGCCATCTTGGTACACCCTTCAGCCACACGCTTACACCCATGGTATGGGAAACAGCCTGTATTTCATCTGGCAAATGTGAGTGTACTATACATTTATTTTCTGGCATTTATTAAAACGGTTTACACTATGGAGGATGTCTTTTGCTTCCTTTATCCTATTGGGGCTTGAGCTGGGGTCCATCCTGCTCAGCTAACCTCGGAGGATACTATAGGAGAGGTGGAAGCTGTATACTGGGGATATACTAAAGAAGCCATCTACTCAAGAGGAAGCATACCTTGATTCAGTGGGGATCTGTTATAGCTCTGTGGCCCTGCAGGGTCGCAGGGAGGAGGTGAGAGGCCGTTTCAGCTGGTTTTGGATTGCACGTGGTGGTGTGCGGGTCCACATACAGTCCATGGACTCTGTTTGAGTGGAGAATATTGATACAGGATCACTGGACTTTATATTTATATAAGTGCACTGTGTGCAGGGGTTGCACATCTGTTTTCCATCTTCATCTTGCTAGTATCATCACGCACATATATGTATTTCCTCTTCACGTTTATACAGGATCCCAATATTATGCTATATGTCCTAAGGTACTGATGCTTTAATTGTGTGTTTTAGCGCTACATCATTCTTCATTTTCTTCTGCATTGTTTATAACATATCTGAAGTCTGCGTTTCCCTGCGTCAGTCACACACCTCTGGTCATACCCGGGAGCCCTGACAGGGGCATGTTTACCAGCCCCCCCCCCCTCCCCCCGCAGGATAGGAATGGGACTGAGATGAAGTGTAGTTCTGCTTTAATACCGGGAAGGAAAGATGAGTTCCATAAAATCAGGGTTATGGAGAGGGGCAAGGGGACAAAACCCAATCGTTAAATACAATCTGAGCTATTGACCAAGTGAGACAAATATTTGGGCGAGGTTAACAAAGAATGCAATATACAACTTACATCAAGGGAGTGACATAAGAGGTACCAGGAATAAGGCTTGTGTCGTAGAGACCCGCAACTTTTTATTGTCATCCCTACCATTAGACTATTCTAATAAGGTGGACTGCAATATGATACATTTTTATATTTGGTAAAGAAATGTTCCTGTCATGCTAAGCTCTGCAGAGTATTCTTTGTTTCATTCAGGATAGCTTGTTAGCCAAAACAAATCTATTTAGAATAACGTGAAGCTTGTTAAGGTTTGTCTTGGAAATTCGCTTTAACGAATTTCTCCTTACCGTGAGTACTCGCAGTTGGATGCGCAGAAATCCCCCATAAAGCTGTGTGAATCTCGCTTACCACGACTGCAGCTAAATTACACGATTCCTGCCCATCCAAATACTTTGGTTCTGTTGAAATGTGGGGGTGGAGCTCCGTTACCCTAGAATGATCAAACGACACTCAGGATGCTGTTGCAACTCACATAAGGGCTGATTTTAGACCCAGCTCTCTGTTTTATTAAAAATACACACATGCCCCCCACATGAATAAAGTCAATCCCCTCCCACCGAACAATGCAATGGGGATTGCCTATACAGAGGATGTACATTCCAATTGGAGCATAGCCTTTGCTATTATCTATCACTGGTCCTCCCCCATGAGTCTTCTGAGGTCAGCAGACTTCCTCCCCTTCCCCCCTATGAGCCATCTGAGGTCATATTTCCTGTCCTACTAGCTTCTATTGGTATGTAAAATTCTCTGCACAAGCACTCCCTAAAAATATCAGTCTGTACCTGGATGGGCCCGATACGATCTTTATTAAAACACACATCCATCCGAGATACAGTTCAGATTAGTAATGGGTTGTAAGATATGCATAAGCCTACACGTGGAGTTCACACCGCTTGCGCATTGCGTTATGAAGCCCACGTGGTACCATGCTGCTGATATGTGGATACAGGCCCATGGTCTACTGACAGCAGCATTCGCATGGAATGCCGTGGTGGTATACACGCCGGTCTATAAGCGCAGATCTGCCATCTCATCCATTACCAAGCTGAGTACTGTAATACATACATTGTACATGCGCATGGCCCAATTGCAGCCTTCAGAGCTTTAATTAAGCCACACGAGAGACATATGAATAACACGAATATATGACACATTTAAAGTTCGACCAACAATACAAAATTTCCATGACAGGTTAGGCTGTTAAGGAGCCTTGATAGAATGTTCTGTTTAAGTATGTTGCACCTGCTTGTCTAGCAAAATGTGCCCTGTGGCCAAACCTGAAGGTAATTTTTTTCCTTAGGGTCAGTGGAAAGAAATGTAAAGCTAAAGTTTAGTGAATTTTTTTAAATCAGCACAAGGGATGGTATTTCATATGAATGACGAGTGCTGATAGGCTGTTCCATTTCTGGAAATCGTCTGTCCTCTGCCCGCCCCCAGGTACCCTTACAGCTGTGATCTGCAGGTGTTGGGGGTTAATATAAGCTGCTTCACCTGTCACAGGCACATCCTAAAATTGCTGACTATGCTATGAAAAACATTCCATGAATGGAGGACAGGTGGACGAATGAAAGATCTGTGTCCTCCATTCACAGAATGTGAGAATGTGGGCAGAAAGGATGGCACATTTGACAAGAGCTTGAG